GGAGGGGGAGGCCGCCCGGCTCCGGCGTAAGCGAGTCCGGGCGGGGCGAGGGGATAGGCGGGGGGAAACGGCCGGGGCTGCGGCAAGGACCCCGGAGGGGGAGGGGCACCTACCCGGACGTGCGGAACTGCGGCGGGCAGTCCCGGCCGCGGCTCCTCTCCAGCTGAGGTGGCGGCTGCGGCGGCCCCAGGAGCCAGAGGCTGAGGCGGCCGCGACGGCAGAGGTGATGGCGGCGAGTCCCTGTGGCGGCCGCCTCCGCCGAACCGCATCCCTCCTCCCCGACCCGCCCTCCTTCCCTATCTCCCGCTCCTAAACTTCTTCCCCGGGATAAACAAACCCGCCGCCAGGGGCGGCCGCTCCCGCCCCCGCGCAGCCCCCCCACCCCCCGCCCGGGGCCCGTCCGGGCTCCGGCTTCCGAGTTGCGACTCCAGCCCCAGCCCTAGCCCGCGAGGGCGCGTGCGCACGGCGGCGGCGGCTCGCGAGGCTCATCCTCACCCCCTCCCGCGCCGGCCACTTCCGGGCCGACCCGGATCCGCCGCCGGGTTTTGGAAGTATCCACCGCTGCCGGCGCCGGGTGCCGGGCTCCCGTCCGGGCCGCTCCGGAGACGTCGAGCGCGTACCTCGCCTTGAGGGGACCCCCGCTTCGGCCCAACATAAAACTCCTTGCCTTAAAAAGCCCAGCGGTGACGCCTCCTAACTGATCTGATTGATCCACGTCGGGTGCGAACCGCGACCGTTTCTGCTCACGATGTCCTCGGGGCTGTACCAGGCTAAAACGCCCCTGTTGCGAGCCCAGAACTATATGAACCGATAAATACATCAGTCTACAGTCTCCAACGAGAAAAACAGAAAACAGTTCGACTTGACAAACGAAGTGCCACAGTGGAATGGTTTTCCTCTGGAGGATGAACCTCAAAGGGGAGTCTCAGGCCTACGAGGGGAGGGGGCCGCCGAAGGGCCGGAGGTACTTGGGAAGCGGGGAGAGCAGGCTGCTTCCCAAGACTAGACGTTGGTAAATAAAGCTCTAAGCAAACGTCCAGAGAGTTGAGGGGACTGCCGAATGGCATTTAGAGAAACAGGTGACAAAGCACAGAACTTTATTCAGCACGCCCATGGGCAAGACATAATTGCTCTAGCTGCCAAGAATCTTCTCATTGAAGAGGTTTGAGGGACTAACAATTCAGGCTTTGCGGGAGCAGGCAGAAATGCCATTTAAGGACCCCAGCTCCTTTCACTGAAGCTATGTATCAAATAACTGACTGTTTACCTGGTTTTCCAAGAAAAGGAGTAGGGAGGGGATGAACGAAAACTTCTATTATTTTACTATGTGTTGAGCCCTATAAGCACAGACTTCGATAATCTTTTTTAATTCTCTCAACATCTGAGGATCAGAAAGAAGAACTCATCTCAGGGTTACTGGGATTTGAAATCTGAGAAAACAGATCCCCCTCACTTTAATACTACATTGGCAATCTTATTCAGGTCTTTAATGCACAAAATATGCCAAGAAATAGCAGAAAAAAATAAGATCAGCCTAACTCATAGAGCTAAGTTGCCTTAGGCCAAGAGTTTAAAAACAAGTGCAAGTGAGCATTGGTGTGCTGGCAAATGATGGGAGAAAATAGTGCAAAATTGCACATTTTCTAAGCATGAACAAAGAACAGTTAAGACGATTTGCTATACTCATTGTGGGTCTGTATTAACTTTATGATATGTAACCGAAACAGTGAAAATTACATGTAATTTTTGCCCAGGCCTTTTAACTATTTCAGCCGGTTCATATTATGCCCTCTCTTCCACTAGTCAGTCATTATTAGGCATTGATAAATATAATATGATCAAGGAATCAAATTATAATCAATCCTTCAAGTAGGTTTCCAATTGGGAGTTAAGAAATGAGTGTTACTTGGTGACCCTTGACACTTGACAGGGTTCTAGTCAGGGAGTGGTTCAATAAACTAGACTATTACTAGGCTTTAGTTTATTGCTGCTGTAAGTGACTTAAAAATAAATAAGAGCTTTATCACTGGTGTAGAACATAGTGTGCTTCCACCAGTCATGTATCAGGCTTACACTGCTTATGGTATTAGCCATTAGGATCATCCAACTCCTTAGACACCAACAAACTTTATGACACTCATTTTGCTGCTCATTTGTCCATTTTTTTGTAGGAAACCAGACTCCTCAATGGATTTGGCTCACTTGGAAGTTCTCCTTATTGTAATTAATAGGTTGGCAGTTAGTAAAGATCAGAGAGAGCCATCCTCAGCTTAATGAGCACAGACTTTGCATCTCCTTGACCTAACCCCATAAGGCTCTGTCTGGAGAGCCAACCAAGCATTTCACTTTGATATTTGAGGGACTGCAGCATCTTATTCCTCTTTTCCACATTAAACCACAGAGGTTCCCATTTCATGGCTGGGTACGCACAATGAACTCAGCACTGCCTTCCATACCACCACCAAGTTTGTACTATCATTTTCAAATTCTGGTTGTCAAAAATGAAAGTATACAGTGCAAAAGTTCACAAATCCATTATTATCTTCTGTTTAGAGATTAAAAACAGTAGTAATATGCTTGTTAGCAAAGGCGATATACTCCATGAACCCTAAGTGATGACTCTGAGCTTCCCTGGACATTTTGCTCATACCACTACCCTTTTTAATGTGGTCCACCAAGCTCTTTCTCCTAATGAGCAGGCTTCCCATATTTTTCTAACCATTATCCCCTCCTACCTTAAATTTTCTTCATGGGAACCAAACTTAGGTCTTCCATAGCTAACACCTGTGATCAGACATTTACACTAACACTTAGCTTTTGGAATTTATGTGAAAGAAAAGAACAACGCGTTTGCTAATTGTTTTTTACTGTTATAAATACTAGGCCTTTTATATGGGAGGGGGGGGGGAAAGAACACTAAAACACTTGTTTAATAACTTGTAAGTTACCTTACATGTAATTTCATTTTGGAAATCTTTTACTGTGCGGGAATCCAGGCCGTCGCTGCTGCCATGATCTAGTAGTTCTGATGACCTCTCTCTTCTTCAGCTTGACTAGCTAAGCTTACTCTCCTCTGGGTGTGCTCTGGCCCTGCTCCTTCTCTGCTCTCAGGGAACCAGAGAAGTTGCAGTTGGTTCTGGACCCTGAAGAGAATCCCAGGTGAAGCCTAGAGCTCTTCACTGTGCTCTCTAGCCAGAGGTCACCAACCTCTGCAGCAGCCCCAAATGGCTCTAGAAGTGCAGCTGCTCAGTCTCCTCTTTTATCTCTGCTCAGTTATCACAGTGTCTCCGGGTCAGGGTCTTTGATCCCCTCCCAGGGAGACACACCCTTCTGCCTATCAGAGCAATTTCTTGCTGGAGGAGTTTACACATCTGCCCCTGTAACAGCCACTGGGTGGTTCTGTCTCTCTGGCCTTTTTCTCTCTGAAAATTGGGGTCACTTCATTCCACTCTTCTCTGACCCTGACTCAAGAAATGGCAATTCCATGGCTGTCTTCTCTGGCTACTTTGAGGGGCCATTCCTGCAGCAGTATCTGAGATGGCGTCCTGTTTCACTCAGACTAAGGTACCACTCCTCCCAAGAGGGAGGAATATAGAATTGGGCCCTGCATTCAGCCGAGCAATCTAGAAGTCCTAGAAGGCCCATTGGGTGAGGTCCTGCGATGTTCCTGGGATGGCCCTGCCGCCCATCAGACACTAGGTGAACCAGGCAGCCTTNGCCTCCTTCTCTCCAATCTGTCCTCCACAGAGCAGCCAAGTGATGTTTTTAAAACAAAATGTAAGTAACTTATTCAGCTGTTTAACATTCTCCAGTGGTTTCCCGTTGCTCTCAGGATTAAGTACAAGATGCTTAGGAATGATTGACCACTGTGATCTATTCCAGTTTTGTTTTATATCACCCAGGCACGTGTGCTAAGGTCCAGCCCCTACATGACTTTTCAGTTCCAGAAAGCTGAACTCGCCATCACTTGGTTAACTCCAGTTCATCCTTCAGGTTTCAGTCTCAAAGTCCTTTTTTAGAGAACCATTCACTGATACATTAGTGGACTTTCCCTGATTACAATAATTTTCCTTTATGGCAGTTAACATAACTGTAACTATTGTTTTTGTAGTTGTTTAGTTTCTTTATTCCCCAATAGACTTTTGCCTCCATGAATACAGGTACACTCTTTCAGTGTCAGCAGAGCCTAGCACAGTACCAGGCACAGATCAGTTGTTCAACAAACTTTTCCTAAACAAATAAATCTAAGTCAGGAAACAAAACAGTGAGCAGGAACACCAAATTTAAATGCCTTCAATATCTAGTCACATATAAATAAGACTTAAATCTGTGTACCAGGTGCTTTACAAAGTTAACCGTTTTTACTTCCTTAAACAACATAAAAACAGAGAGACCTCACTGTTGAGATTTAATGAGAGAGAAAGAGAAAGAGAGACAGAGAGAGAATTTTTCAGAAAGGTGAAGAACCTTGTCTTATTAGGTAACCAACAAGGAATTGGAAGGTCTGAGAGGCAACAAAAGGTAACAGACTGTACAACCCTATTTCCTGGCTCCACTGCTCACTTAGCTAAATGATTTTGTGGAAGTTAAGTAATCTCTGGTTTTTCTCAGGTTCCTCATTTGTGAAATGGAGATATAATAAAGCCTTCTTTAAAGAACTGTTATGAAGTTTAAACAAGTGGATATATATAAATCATTTGAAACAGTGCTGGGCACAGTGTTTTATAAGTGTTAGTGATTATCATTATCTTTAATATTACCAGTGCTTTCTTATAATTTTAACTGCTTATTTGCTTTTTGTCTGTCAGTGCCATTAAAATATAAATTACAGGGCCAGCCAAGTGGCGCGATGGTTAAGAACTGGCTTGGGATGCCAGAGTGCCCTGGTTCGGATCCCACATGTGAGGGCCAGTGACACTGCCCTCCACAGCTAAGATGCTGAACAACAGCTCAACCTGGAGCTGGGCTGCCGTGGGTCG